CTATTTTGTTCTTTGGTGTGCTAGATTATATTCACTTTTGAGCATGATTTTGCCTGGTTTTTTGAAAATAGCAAGTTGCTTTGGCAACCATATTACTTTGATCAGCTGAATTATAGGAGCAGAAATTTTGTTTGATACAGAAAACAATAGATTTAGGCAGAGGTTGGGTACAAGGTTATTCATTCTTGGTGTTCAGGGATGTTCTTGTATATGAGTAAAAAAGGGTTTCAAAAGTCTTTCTCAGTAAAGAATGTGATTTCTAAGATTGTAGTAGGTGGAGTGGTATGGTAACTAAATTTTATGAGATTTTCTTTAGCAAAAAAGCTGTTTACATTCTCAAGTAGACTGTAGAGTGTAGTTTTCCCCTAAGCTGGGCATTATGTTCCCTCGTTTCATATATAAGGCTCTCTAAAATAAAATGTCATTTGAAGTTACACCACTGAACTACAACATTTGGATTTAGAAACTCTTGACATGGCAATCAAGAACCTTCCATTGCCATTTTATCTTGAGATCATCTACGCATAAGTATGAGAATGCAGCTTCAAGTCTGAGAGTTTCCATTTTGTGCAAGAAATTCTGGGGGTTAGGTATGTATCTTGTCCATATCTCCAAAGACCCAGGATAACCTGTACAAGCAGTGGGTAATGACCCTTTTAAGAAAAGGGGCCAATGCTTGGTGAAATCTCAGGGAAATAATCATGAGAACTTGGGTTTCAGATTGAGAGCAGTCACTTTATGCAAGAAATGCCAATGGTTAGGTCTTTATGCAGTATATCCTTCCTAAAAAAAAAAAAAAACAGAGGTTAGTCAAGACCAGAAGCATTAGGTAATGGCCCTTCTCTAATTCCACAAATTGTAGGTCTGTAAAAAGGTCAAGTTGTCTCTGGGAGACTCTGGGATTAGAACCCACTGTTGTTTTCCATGCAAACTCAATATGTCAATGTGCATCAGACCTGCATTGGACATGGACAGTTAAACTAAGATATCAATGATCTATATTACTGGAAGAACCAACCATCCTATTTTTTTAGGTATTCAACTCAATGGTTTTCCTATCCAAATGTTAAGTAATTGAAGATGCACATAAGTAGTGCAGACCTCAGTATTGTGATAATATGATATGCTCTAGATATATTTGAATCCATATTATGGGGGACATATGCACCCAAAGACCCACACAAACACAAAAACCTAGTTGATGTGATTGGCACCTTCTGGAAATGTTTGTTCTCCGCTTTTTTGGATAAATATATAATCCTTATGTTATTTTTTTTCAAAGTTGGACTTGTTACTTATTTAATCCAGTTTTGTGTTGGACATTGCATTTTCAACATGTGACATTAGGAGATTTGACTACAAACAGCAGATATCATATTCACAATGCATGTGTTTTCATCATCTCAGATGCTTCCAGTCTAAATTATGAATTTGCATTAGCTACACTTGTAAAGAGGTTGATCCACTTGATGCTCCACAAGGAAGATAGTAATTGGATCTCGCATATTAGTGACGGTCACCCCATCTTACCATTAAACATTGTTTAGTCAAAGCTCCACTCTTGCGAGGACGTGTTGGAGGAAAATTCAATAGTAGGCTTGTTTTTTTTCTATGCGTAGGGACCCGTAAAGAAGAAACCACTATATGCATGCCACTACGCATGGGCACAGGCATGCAGGTGTACATGCAAGCCACTCTCTATCGTTTTTCCTCCTTGACCGTTTCTTTTTCAACCATCGTTTGGTTTGAAGATTTGAATTTAATTTTATTTTTAAATGTTTTCTTCCTCTTATATTTGTGTCTTTTCCAATCTGTGAACAAACATCTCTATGTCTGTTCGAGTGACTGAAAGTATTGTTATTGGTTGACTGACCCAGTGACACAAAATACACACAACACAACACAGTTTTTTCCTTCTTTATCATTCCTTCATATTTGAGTGGTTCGTAGGCTGTTTTTATCTTTGTGACTGATCTACATTCACCTTCACCTGGCTACATCAAATGTGATTTTAAAGAAGAGTGACCAAGTAACAGGACTCAGCCTCCTATTCATAACAATTCCTAACCTCTCAACAATAGCTCTGCAACAGCAGAGTTGTTTTAGCAGCAATTAATGAACTTTTCTTAGCATGGATGTTTAATATAAAAATGAATGTCTTATCATCATATTTCTTGATTTTGCACTTTTCTACATTTGCAGCAAATCCACTCCTCGTCCAAGGCTGCATGACCGACCGACAGTTGAATGGTGGTCTTTTATTTTCGGATGGACCACAGAAGATTCTATAGCCTCTCAAGTATGGACCATGGTTTTCAAAACTGGACCGGACCGGATGGTCGGACTAGAAAACCGGGAACCGGTTAGGTGATTGGTTTTGATTTCCCCTAAAATCGGAATTTCTTCAAAAACTGTTGATTTTGGTCAATAAATCACTGACTCGGGTGATTAACTGTTCAAACAGTTTTGACCCTTTTTTTTATTTTTTATCTTTTTATTAGAAATTAGAATGGACCGACCATTTGACCCGATAATCAGACCCTAACCGGTTCGGTCTCCGGATCGATTTTAAAAACCATGACAATTAATTAGACATCTCCCCCCCCCCCCATCAGAGTGAGCTTTTTCCTTTTTCACTTGATGCTTGGTGATTAGCTCAAGATTAGTTTACTATGGTCCACTCAATGAAGTAGTGTGATAGGATCTGGTACAGCACGAAACATTTATTACTTTTCAGCTGTAGTTAGAATTTGGAGGTGAGGAGGGTGTTCATGTGATTCTTTATTGCTCTGTTTGTGGTTTCGTTTCTTTGCAACGTCTCGTAATATTCCGGTGGAATGTTTCTAGTGTTTGCTTCTAATGAATGTTCCCGGTTCACCAGAAACATTCCAACAGTTTCGATTGGAGGTTGCGTTTGAATGTTGTGTCCTGTAAAAGTCGATCAATGGGAAATTTTGTAAGCCATTAGAGATTTTGAAGTAAGAATCGATTTAAGATGAAAAAGTCGAACGAAAAAAGTGAGATTTACATCAATTTTCAATCTAAATTTTACATCTCAATCAAACAGTTGAAAAATTAAACTGGGTGTAAAATTTGACACCGATCTACTTTTTATACGGAAAACAAATGAGTATAAATGCAAACCAACGATAAAGTTTTATATCCATTTGCATTTACACTCCACTCAAATGCATCTGCAGTAAAAATTGGCTGTTTCTTTTTGTTTCAAATAAAAATTAGTTATCTGCTCTTGTACTCTTTGTACAGAGAGAAATCACAATGAATAAATGAATACGCGTTTCTGGCTTCTTCACTTGGACCAGTGTTACCTGACAAAGAAAAGAAATGGCCAAAGTTACCGTGATCTGCATTAATTAGGTAATTTTTGGTCCATTCCCATTTATTGCTGAATCATCAAAGCAAAGGGTTAGGGAGTCAGATAATAAAATAATGGGTGATCAGAAGAAGTTCGAGTACACACGTATTTGACACCCCCCAATGGGAATTCAGATTCATTCCTCACAAAACCACCCTTCTCACAGTCCTCTGCAGCTATGCATCCAGAATATTCCGTCATATAAGTAAGGAGATGTTCTCAATATATGATTGTAAAAGAATGACAAGTGCAAAGGCAAAAGTGAAACAACAACGAGAATCGAGATTGGCTCATGAAACTGAATTTGGATTTAGTTCCTATACGGACGACTCGGATTTGGTCCTGTCCTCCTCATACAGTCTTCTACAACTGTACATTATATTTTTATTCATGAGAGATATTTTCAATATACATCCGTTAGGGACTGTGAAGAGGTTTTGTTAGAATTCGCTAGAGGCCTAGAGCAGTGGAGCCACATTATCTTTGCCGCGTGGAGTAGTCTCTGGTATTTATGTTGGTTGTTGACCCAACTACCTCGTAGTTTAATAACTCTCGATCTATTATTGCTTGACTCTCCCTTCTCTTTCCTTCAGTTCAGATCCTAATTAAGCCCATCATGTAGATGGGTTCCTGCGGTCTTACACTCCGATTCGCAACAACTTTCACTTTGACCTTCCTTGTTATCAGTTTTGTCCTTCTCTTTTGTTGCAGGATTCTACTCCAGCACTCACCCCAGTGTGATCTTCTTGAAATTCAGGAACCAGGGAAGAATCTATTAGTAGGAGAAAATCTCTGTAATTCTTTCCTCCAAAGTTACTTGGAAATATAAAATAGTGATTAATTGTTAGGTACGTGTTTTTCAAGAAAGAATCATCGAGTAAGTGTAAATAATTAATGAATGTTTTTGTTCCATTCAAGTGCTAACTACTTTCTTTCCGGATGAGAAAGTCATTAACTTTGCATTTTTTACTTTAATAATGACTTAAATGACGAGATATTTTTTACTGTGGAACGAACAAATGATTTTTATTTGGCAGATGGTTTATTTTGGGGGGCTTAACAAATATTCTATCAATTTTGATATTATCTGTTGCAGGTGGACGCGAGTAGGGAGGGAACCTTTCCCTTTTTTTTTTTTGTCGTTTTGTGTATTTAGG